CTTCATATCACCAATATTTAATACATATATATATATAATAACTGGCCTTGACCTTGGCCTACACATATATATATTATGTATTAAAAAAAGGACAAGCATAATTAATTCAAACAAAATTACGTTTGTGAAAGTTGCAATACAGATACTCCTTCACAACTAGAATATTTAGTGATTCTTCTTGCGTTCATGTTTATGTATCATTACAATTTGAGGCTGCCATTTCAGGTGGTGTTGAACGCGAATGTACGCCCACGTATTGTGCTTGCCATGATGAGATTCGCGATATAGCAACACGGTGACGATGCACTGTCCTGTGCATAACTAACCAAGACCAAAGTCATTACAAATTATTGCACATCTCATTTGTACAGGAAAACTGGAAATAAACATTTTTCTATTATATTTTTCGAATATTATAATCAATTCTCATAATTAAAAATGACAACTTCTATTTCATTTACTATTTCATTTACTACTTCATTACGAATCTATTTTATCTATTAACAATTACAATACAAATTAGTATATTCTTCTATCAACAACACTGACAATGGAAATTAACTGAAGAAAACCGAAATACCGAAATAATAAAAATATAAGTTGTTGCCACGAAATGGGGTTATGGTTCGGTAACATTTTGCTACTTAACGTTGTTGTACTTGTATTATAATAATAAACTTGGAGAAAATTCAATACACCATGTTGATACAAAAGTTGTACTTCATATTACTCATTCCTTTCTAACAAGATTGTTCTTCCAAAGTTTAAGTAATTTCCCTTGCTCTCGCATATTATAATGTAACAAATAACTATCCGCGATATACATTTAAAAATAGTTCTCAAACTTTAACAATGTAGGTAGCATCTTCTTTGAAAAGTACGAAATTCACTAGTATTATCCTGAAATATCGATTTACGAGGAATATGGATTTCTTTTAGGTTTTTATTTTACTTTCATTAAATTATACTGTTCAATTTTGTTCGTTCTTAAATTAGGGCACTGCACGTAATTCCGTCATTGGTAGTTCACATGATGTCTGCTTTTCAGTTCGTTCAAAGTAAAAAATTTCACGATACATACTTTAAAGTATATACTCGTACATACTTCAATTGTAATAATTTATTAGAAAAAAGAGGAAAATATTTATTATGTGCCTACACTTATCTCTGATTGCTTAAATATTGACGACAGTGGAACTGAATTTTATTGCGACTTGAAAGAACTGAATAACATTCGTACCGTGCATGAGAGAAGCTAGATAATTTTCTTCTGAATAATTTCAAAAGAAATTGTTACATTATATTAATCTAAACAATTTGATGGATTATGCATGAGATTATTATAGTTTTTGAGCAATTTTTGTAAGTGGTCGAAATACAGTTTCCGTCATAAATAATTGTCATGAGCAATTAACATAAATTTCCCTCGCTGTTACCTGTTACGAGTGTCCGAAATCATTTTCTCATCGATAACTCTTACACGAAATCAAAATACAGTAATTATAGTTACCGATTGTCAACAACTATAAAAACGAGCCTCAAGGCTCGAATAATCGTAACTCCTCTTCCCAAGTTGTCCAGTTTTATGCACAATCTGAGCGCGAATTAGGGAGAAATTACTGTACATTTCCCTCGTCGATGATTGTTATAAGCAATCAAAACTGTTAGGAGGAATCGATCTAGGTTTTCCTCGTCGATAACTACAATGTGCGTGATCGAAACAAAATTTCTCTGAACTGTGTTTATGAGCAACCGTAATGTTAATGTTATTCAATAGTTGTCCTCATGAATAATAATTATCGATAAGGACAAATTTTGTTTCATTATATATAATCGTTATCATATAAAAGCCTTTTAATTCTGGTTATAACAGTTGGGGTCCCTGAATAATTATCATTGAAAATAAGCATTACGTCTATATAAGATATATAATAAGCATTATCTATTTAAACAATATCTGCAATCTGCGTATGCTAAAACAATCTGCAAGTACTTAAAACTATACTATACTGTTAATGCAAGTTTGGTAGAAATCTGCTATAGGCGCCTACCTCCCGCTTATTCCCAAGTTTCTTTTGAACTTGATCAGCATTTAATGCTCATTAAAACGAGGCGGCAGGTGTGAGGGTGGTTCGCGTGGCGAATCGTTTGCGGACGATCCTTTCGGAGGTTTATTTACGAGTAGGGACGGGCATCGGTATCGATATCGCGCGATTAAACGCGTTGTTACGAAGTTTCGACGCTCGAGGGAGAACACGTGAAGCCCCGTCTATCCGATCGATTGGAAACCTCCAGCGAAATTATACAATATTGTCCGAAATATTGGACAGTTCGAACGACTATTTGGGTCACTTGATTCGCGACCTGATCATTTTAAAGGGCTCGCCGTCGATTGACACATTTCACTGGCACCGCGTGATCTCTGTTTGCGCCACACAGACAGAACGGTTAATATTTTTTTGTTTTCCATCGCGAATACGGCGCGCGCGGTATCGCGATGGAACGAAGACGATCGATAAGACTCTCCTTTGAGCACACAATCACAGAAATGCTTTCGGTTACCTCACACCGTCCATACATTTCCGAGATTGAATTTTTTCGCGGACCGTGCCGGAGTTCGAAATAAAAACAATCTACCGATCGATCGATCGAAGAATAGTTAAAATAATTTCCACGGAACAGCTGCACCAATTGCTGCCGGGTTTCCTCCAGTAAAAACGCGAAGGGTAGCTTTATTTCGTTAAACCAATCTGATGTTGGTTACGAAAAACTATTGGGATCCAAACGTGCGTTCCCTTTGGATCAATTGCCTTAAGATAATTGTTGATTTTTATTAGTGTTCATTGTGTTAAATTATTAGGTATCTCCGTAACACTAGAACTACCAAACCGTTTAAAATGACTGGTTTTTTAATCCTTCTTTTTCACAATTTCCGATATTATAAATAATGGTTTTGAGAGAAATTTTTAGTTGAACTTCTTCATTCAAGCATATATCGTAATATAAATCGTACAAAGTTTAAATAAGTCTGATCTTGCCATTATTATAAAACAATTTACCTACATTAATCACGTTTAAGGATACGAAAGTTCTAGTGTTAACTAGTATCCTACCAGTAATTAATTTCATTTGATTTTTTACTTTTGCATATTATGCATTGTTAGTGTAAATCGAAAATACAAAATCAGAATTCTAGATATAAAATTTCTGAAAGTAGTTCCACGGAAAAGTTTTCTTTACACGTGTACGCTAAGTCAATGTTTGTACTATACAACGAACGTTAGTATTGTCACGTTAAGTACTCCATTTATTAATGATTCCAGTGATTTACATTTCCGTTATTGAATAAATGATTGGGTTTGGCATGTCTGTTAACGCACAATGAATCAGGAAGTTGTGCATTGTCATAATAACGCTTTGGTGTTTCAATTGCTCGCAAAATCTCCTTAATACTAGATTTATGAATATTAGAATTAGGCTAATTCATTCATGTGATTGCGCCAATCAAAACCAACATAAACAGTTTAATATATCAGATATACAAACGTTTCTTGATACAGCTTTTTATTTATAATTAGCAAAATACGTCACAATCTTGAAAATAATACCGTCTGTTACCTTCTCGGACATTTTAAAATGTCTGCTGATCTAATGACCTTAAAGAGTACGAAATTAATCTAAATTTAAATTTGTCGAATAAGCCGCATAAGAATTCGCTAATTTAACCTTTTCATTGACAATGACGAGTTAATTCGTCATTTATATTCGCTATCACTTTTCAGAAACTTTTAATTTCTCCTTAATTGAATGAATAATTATTCCATGTATATATATAATGCGTTTATTAAATCTCGGTTCTAAAAATTTTGCGCATCACTTACGAGATGCAGAAACTAAATAGAATTCCCTATCCTTTCTTTTTTTTGGTAATGATTTAAATAATTTAAGAATAACATATCTATATTATGAAATTCTTTTGTTAATTTCAGTGCTTCAAATTTTACGTTCTTAATTTTGTTATAAACGTCTAAAATTCACAGTCTAGTGATTGTACCATGCCATTATACGATGTACTTCTCATTTTGAAGGTTGACTATTCCAATTCAACTAGAACAACTACCGAATTTATCAAGTACCGAATTAGTAACCGTGTCTGAGGATAGCGCTAACGATGTATGGACAAAAATCTCTTTGCACGGCAGTGATAGTAATTATGCTCACTAAAAAGGTATAGTATTTCTAATATATGAATTTCACATTAACGACGATAACGACATACTGTCTCCATAAAGATGGATGGATGGATTTCAGACCAGAAAGAGAAAAAAGTCGCCCTTCGAAACGTTTGTTGGAGAGGCATTTCATAAAAAAAATACCTCCAACAGGTAAAAAAACAAAATCACAACGTAGATGCGTTGTATGCACCAAAAACGATAATAAAAAAAATAAATTTATTGGTGTGCGAACTATGAAGTGCGACTATTTTCCGAGACCTGTTTCAAACTTTTTCACACTATAAATTTCCAATATTTTTATTAACCTCGAAGTTTAAAGTTAATCGAACAAGTAGTATTCGCTTTATTTAACCTGTTTCAAACTTTTTCACACTGTATAAATTTCCAATATTTTTATTAACCTCGAAGTATAAAGTTAATCGAACAAGTAGTATTCGCTTCGTTTAACTTTAAACAAATCACAACATAAAGTACTGATTAAGTAGAAAATTAATAAATTAAGTAAATTAATCATCGCCTAAGCGAATAACGAATTTGTACGAGTTACCGACTTGAGGGATCAACCGCGAAAGTCACCGATAACGTTGTACAGCCATTAATATTGATAATTTCCGGAACGTTGCATAAAATCTAAAAATCGGTCGAATCGCTGAACTCTGCGAATCAAGCGTCAGCGATTGCTCCGACTCTGGCATTACGAGCGATAGGTTCACAGTGAACTTCACACGCAGCAAGACTAGTCGCGGGGACATGTTCGTCCGTGCATTCACCCCGACAAATTTCTGAAAATATTTCGCAATAATACCGGATCCTTTCTTATCGCGTGTTTTACCGCATTCCCGGGTCCGCTGGTTCTAATTAAACCGCGGTGAATATATTTCGGCCAGCATGAACGCATCATTAATTTCGTTGATTGCAAGAAGCA